TCTCATACTCCTGTGGGAGAGGTCCTATCCCTCCCATCCTACAGGATGTACCAGTCAGCCTGACTACACAGGCAATTCACAGCAGCCCACTCTCAGCTGCTATGCCAAACCACACCCTGTTCCTTCGTGAGTGCCAAGTCAAGGAACCAGGTGAACAACTTAATGCTATTATACAAATGAATTAGGAAGATAAAATCATTTAAGGGACAAAGGAAGTAACTGCCAAATCAGGATGTCAAGTCATTATTTAACATGGCAGAATGTGCAGGAAAAGGAACATCGTTCAAATAAGCTGGAGTTTAAGAGAACATTAAGATGATGAAGTTCTAAAGTGGAGCCCATTGAGAAAATGAAGCTCAGAGAAGACAGAAAACTCAGTTGCACTGACTTCAGTTCTAAATCAGTTATAAAATAAACTTGAAAGTAAGCTAGAATTAACCAGCAGGAGTGCATTATAGAATTTGAGGTCCTGGGGGGGCAGGACACTTAAGCTTTTTTATGATAAAAGTATTATAGTAACTTTAGAAAGCTTAGAAAAGGAGAATGTAAAGTTAAAATCACCCATAATCTCAATACCCAAAGACAGGGGCAGACCAGTGTTTTTGAAAAATAACAAATTTCATAAGGACACACAAGCCAGGATGTTGGAAGGGTCCCGAAAGCTTAAACTTCCTTCACCTTAGGTTAGGTCCACCTCTGTCCAGCAATAAGGGCTCTTAGAGCCGGTCCGCTTGGGTTTGAAGCTCAGCAACATCTCTGACCAGCCAAGTAACCTTGGGCAAGTTTCTTTTTTTTTTTTTAAGATTTTTATTGGGGAATTGGGGGGATGGGAACAGTGCTGGGGAATTGGGGAAGGGGAACAGACAAGTTGCTGTCCTTTTGTTCTTCAGTCTAGTTGTGGAAGACGTTGCTTCACTGGCCCAAGTTGGCACCATCATTGCGCTCTTCCCGGGCGAGGCAGATCAGTTGCCGGCTGGACGGCAGCTCACTGCGGCTGCTGGCTGCTCACGCTGGCTGCTGGCTACACACGGTAGCCCATGGCAACCCACTGCCACAGGGGCTGCAGTCTATGCCATCGCTGCCAGCGACTCACGGCAGCCCAGCTCCAGGTTGAGCTGTTGTTCAGCATCTTAGCTGTGGAGGGCAGTGTCACTGGCCCTCATATGTGGGATCCGAACCGGGGCCCTCTGGAGTCCCAAGCCAGTTCTTTTTTTTTTTTTTTCTTTCACAGTTTTTTTTTGTTTTTTTTTGTTTTTTAGCTGAGCCATCCTGCTACCTGTTGGCAGCTCAGCGGCTGCTCAGCTTGGGCTGGACTCGAACTGCTGTTGCTCAGAGCTCAAACTCTTGAGCGTGCTCTTAACCAACTGAGCCACTCGGCCGGCCCTCCAAGCCAATTCTTAACCATCGCGTTGGGCAAGTTTCTTAAGCTTCACTGTGCCTTAGTTTTCTATCTGAAAAAATGGGGATAATATCAGTGTCATATGACTAAGTTTAACTTAGAATATAGTAAACATTTAGCTATTATGGTCCTGCTTTTTCTAGACATATATGCATACATATTTCACAAAAACCATCCCACTAGTTTCATGTATGAACATTTTTCCATGTTCTTGGATCTTTAAGACAGACCAAATGTTATACTGAATAGATATAAAATTAGACTCCTCAACTGGACATTTAGGGTGTTAAAAAGGGTAGATACTTAGCACCAGGTGGCTTTACCTGTTGAAAGCACTACAAAGTCGGGCTGGCCGAGTGGCGCATTGGTTAGGAGTTGGTTTGGGATGCCAGCTCTGAGCAGCACAGCCGTGGTTCGGATCCCACATGAGGGCCAGTGATGCTGTGCCCTCTACAGCTAAAATGGTGAAACAACAGCTCACCTGGAGCTGGGCTGCCGTGAGTCGCTGGCAACAGCGTAGGCCGCAGTAGGGCTGGCCGGCAGCTGGTATGTGCTTTTGTGAGCTGCCAAGCTGTTGTGAGCGGCCATCCAGTGGCTGGCGAGCAACTGCCTCTCCTGGGAAGAGCACAATGATAATACCAACATGGGCCAGTGAAGCGACGTCCTCCACAACTAGACTGAAGAACAAAAGGACAGCAACTTGTCTGTTCCAATTCCCCAACACTGTTCCCTCCCCCAATTCCCCAATTAAATCTTCTGAAAAAAAAAAAAGCACTACAAAATCATCTTCATTGCCAAAGACTAGTAACATTTTAAGGAATAAGCCAACTTTATATAAATCTTTGATAAACCCAAGATGTCAGTTAAGAGGGCTTGTTGGGGAAACAGGGGCCTCAGAGTTGCTTAACTCCAGGGGGTACTGTCTTCACACGGAATACAAAGTGGATGGTAACCCTGGCATTGTACATGGCTGAGACCTCAGGGAGAATAACAGGGAAGACACTGATACTAGATGGAAACTTCTAGAAGCCAGGCCCTTCCCAGACATCTTCACTGTATTTTAACATAAGACAATGAAGATGTGGGAGAGGGTTATTCCTTTGTCCAAACTTACTGAGAGGAAAGAGTGAAGGTCAGACATGTTTGATAAGCCCTGAAGCTTAGCATATTGACTGCTAACCTAGCTAGCGACCTTTAGGAAGTCAGCCCGTGGTCTAAGTCCTGGCTTCCTAGTGGTTAACAGTGAGAACTCAGGCATGTTTCCTAACCTCTGTGCCTATTTCCTTGGTAAAACTGAAATTTCTCTGCACCCCCGGGGTGCAATTACCCACACACATCAGCTATTGCGTAATCTCACGTGGTGTGGCATGCTCAAGCATGTCACAGTTTGAAGACATTTTAGTAAATATGCTTCTCATACATGAAGTATCAAGTCTTACAAACTATATGTAGCCGTATTTCTGAGGCCAAAAGCAATCATTTTACCAGCTCCTATTAGCAGAAAGACTTGTTTTGTTTCCTTTCCCCAAAGTCAATCTTCAAAGTGATTGTACAGAAGTCACACACCAAGTGAGAATAAAAAATGCATTCCTCTGGATTCAACTCAATTACAAATCAACTGAATCACCATATATTGGGTTGTCGGGAAAGTCATGACGTATTTTTTTTCTGTTTTTCGTTGCAAAAATGCGTCTTGACTTTTCTGACAACCCAATAGTTTTCCAAATTGAAATAATGTTAACGGTTACGACTTTCGTCCTAGGAGCCAGTACATCCTTCACTTAGAAGTTGGAATCACAGGTATTATCATCATAGAGTAATCAGAGCTCAAAACTTTAAGGCAGCTAAGACCCAAGTTATCTGGACTCCTGGCAACAGACAAAATAAAGCTCTTCTGTGAAGTCACAGTAATAACAGGAAGCATGGGGTTTCTTCCCTACTGCCCTTACTTCCTGTTCACTAGAAAGGAACTGTTGTATTGAAGGATCAATTGTTGAGAACAAATGTCATGTAATCTTTAATGCAAGCCTATACCTATTTGTGTATCCCTAGCTATAAATCAGTAATGCTTAACAACAAATGGCAAAGACATTTGTTTAAATAAAACACCTAATTTCTAGAAAGCAAGGAATTGCTAAAAAGGAAAAAACACACAAAAAAAGACCATTGACTTGGGTATGTCAAATGGACACAGGAGCCAACTGACATAGCTCAGTGGTCAAAACTGGAATGATTTGAACAAAATGTAGTATTGGATTATAACCCAGTTATAAAAGAAGTATCTATGAGTTCATAGTGACATAAATGACTGAATTGATGAGAAATCTCCCTTGCAGAAGAACTGCAAGTAATTTATGGATACTCAAACCACAAGGAAGCAGAGAATAATTCAACTCCCTACTCCTATACTGCAGGCTGCGCATAGAGAAAACCAAGGAGTGCAGCACTGTAGGGGGTGGGGTGGGAAAAGAAACTTTCTAATGGAGAAACTTGACAAATATCACCTCAGCCATGTGATCAATGTCAATATCAACAGTGATAAATCATGTTGATAGTAACATTTATGTGATGAAAATGGCACTTTACCTACGTGGTCTTCCTCCCCCAAAACTCATAACCCTAGTCTAATTATGAAAAAAACATGAGACAAATCCCAATAGGGGCATCCTACAAAATTCTTGACCAGTACTCTTCAAAATCAGTCAAGGTCATCAAAAACATGGAAAGTCTGTGAAACTATTACAGCCAAGAGGAACCTAATGAGACATAACAAAATGTAATGTGGTATCCTGGAAGAGAAAATGGACATTAAGTTAAAACTAAGGAAATCTGGGGGGCGGCCGAGTGGCTCAGTTGGTTAAGAGCGCAAGCTCTGAGCAACAGGGTTGCTTGTTCAATTCCCATATGGTCCAGTGAGCTGCGCCCGAGCTGAGCTGCTGCTGAGTTGCCAACAGGTGGCAGGATGGCTCAGCTGGTGAAAGCACGTGCTCCAAACAAGGTTTCTGGTTCAACTCCCGCATGAGATGGTGGGCTATGCCTACCCACAACTAAGATTGAACACAGCACCTTGAGCTGAGTAGCCGTGAGCTAGACGGGTGGCTGGGCGGTGACGACTTGGAGCTGAGCTAGCTGCGCCCTCCACAACTAAGATTGAAGGACAACTTGGCTGTTCCCCTTCCCCAATTCCCCAATAAAATCTTTAAAAAAAAAAAAAAAAACTAAGGAAATCTGAATAAGCTATGGACTTTAGTCAATAGTAATATAATCAATATTTTTTCATTGATTATAACAAATGCATCACAGTAATATAACAATAGGGGAAGCGGATGAGGGTATATGGAAACTCTAATATCATCTCAATTTTTCTGTAAATCTAAAATTGTTCCACAAAATATTTAAACATTTTTTAAGTCTACAGGTACACATAATTTAAATGTATTAAGAAGTTGAGACACTAAAACAATAATATCTTTATGGTAATTTTCTTTTATGTGCTGTATGAATCACTTAAATAGAAGACATCTACATATATTACTATCAAAATAACTTGAGCTATATTCCTGGGAAGGCAAAACAAAATAAAAACCAGTTCAGGCTTATTTCTTATCAGCAGAAAAGTTTTATTTCTTTTAAGGACGAACAGTTTAAACCACATCCAAGGCCTTAACTTACAGACACAAACCAAAGTAGCCATTTAAAGCATTAGATATTGAAGTACAAGACATATAATGGGGGGAAATGCTTCGCCACGTGAAGCACACACCACACTTTGCTCAATCGACAGCTGAGCTCTGTTATCTGCTAACACTTGGGTGTGGTTGAGGGTAAGAGCCTATCTGCCGAACCAAAGAAGAACAGCTGTGTTCTACAAGTACTGAAGCATTTTAAGACTGCACTGGTAGGGGTAGATTTTCATAGTGAAGGGCAGAGTGGGGAGAAGCGTAGTCCCTTCCCGTAGTGCATTAGGCGGCCTTGCAGAGGGCCACGGCAGAAAAGCGCACGTCCCCTTGCTCACGCTCAGTGAATTCTCGGCAGACCTTGGCGGCGTCCTGAAAAGAAGGAACGTCATTAATTTCCAAACAGCAAAAGCTCAAAATGAAAGCTTCAAACGGAAAAGTGTCCATCAGGCCTCTTAATGCTCCAAGTTCACCCTGATCACCTTTGAACTTCCCATTAAACTTGAAAACCAGGGCTTAAGGCAAAAGAGGAAAAAAAAAAAAATCACGTGATGAGAACAGGGATCTGCATCATTAGCTCCCAAAGGCCAGAAATCACCAACTTGAAAATGTGATTCCCTTAAAAAGCATCAACCATGCCAGAGTTTCATTCCTGCTTTGGAACCATGTATTAAAAACTCATGGGGGTCTACACTGACACCTACATTTTATTCTCTATCAGAATTTTTAATATATTGATATTCCAGACCTTCCTTCCCAACTCGACTTTCCTATAGGACCCAGTGTTGACTAATATTAAGTGTGTCCCTCTAAAGAGGGAAACCAGCCATTTCCTGCACAGATTCGACAAATCCATTCAAGTTTAGGATATCTGGATTGTTTCTGTTTTTTCTCACTGGCTTAGCAACAGTTAATTTTGTTTCTCGTTTGGACAACCTAAAACAATCTTTAACTATAGAGAACCATCCTTACTAAGAATTTTCACTAATTAAGAGGCTGGTTTTTCTTCATTTAATTTTAAATGAGATTCTAATTAGTTTTTATTTTTTTGAGCAAAAAGTTTTATCTTCTGCACACCTCATAAATTCTCCTCCTGTTCAGTTTTAGGTATCCTCTGTGGGGTACCTTTTATGGTATTAGTGTTCGATATGAGTTAGTATGTAACTTAAGAGCTTTATTCAAAGGACTAGGGTCTTTCCTCCAAATGGGTCATGACCAGAAATTTTGCCTCTGTTCTTACTCTTTCCCACAAGTACATTCTGACTCTCTCATGCAAATCAGCCCCCATCCTGGTTTTCTAGGTCTAGTTCCCATTCTGTATTATGATTCTTATATACTTTGTATATCCAAGAATTAGCTCCAACTGATCTCAGGTGTGTATGACAGTGAACAGGACAAAGTGACCCTCCCTCCTAGAATGGCATAATTTGGCTCACTAGCACCGTACAGTCATCTGGTCTATGACGTTCCAAAGACAAGTCTGTTATATAGAAAGGCAGTATTTTACAGTAATTAAGAGCACAGGCTCTAGAGACAGACTGTCTAGATTTCAGCCAGATTCTGCCATGTAAGTTATTGACCTTGGGCATCACTTAACCTCTGCACCTCAGTTTCCTCATGTGTAAAATGTGAATAATAATACCTGCCTCTGCCCGTGTCCTTAGAAGGATCCTATAAAAGTGGTAAGTCACTCAAAAAAGCACCCAGCACAGGGGTCAGCAAACTGTCAGCAAACTGCAGGACCAAATCCAGCCTGGTACCTATTTTTGTGGCTGAAGTTTCGGGGGAACAGCCACACACATTCATTTATCCATTGTCTCTGGGCTGCTCTGGGGCTGAAACAGCAGAACTGAAATACTTGCAACAGAGCCATATGCCACATGATGCCTAAAACATTTTCTATCTGGTTCTTTACCAATAAAGTTTGCCGACCTCCATTCTACACACAGCAAGTGCTAAAAAAAGATTAGCTGCTAGTACTATAAATGAAGTCATTATACATTTAACAGCATTTTTAAATTTCATCGCAGGCAAGTTTCCTTTATAATAGCACACTGATTCAATGGTAGAGACTCGTTTTTAGGGTGAAAGAGGCCTGATCCAGCTCTGGTCCAGGATTCAGAGGTTCCTGTAGTCACTTGTACCAGGATGGTTACACAGGCATGTTTTTCTTCTCAGGCATGTTTTGAATCTGTTTCTCTCATCCTGTAACAGTGGGCCATGTGGAAAGAAAATGCTGCTGAAGTTAACTGCCTGACCAGAATCCATAATGTACTCTCTACAAAACTGACCCAAATTCAGCCGTCTGGGAGGGGTGAGGAAAGGCTCAGGCTGCTGTTCCATGAGTCGTTAGCTATGACGTAATCTGACAAGAGTACAGTGGTCACTTAATCCCACAAAGAAGCGACGCAATGGCTTCAGGCTAACTCTAACTGTGGACTAAAGACAGCACAGGAATACAGATTAGTCTCAGCTGCTCTGAAGGATCCTTTTTTTTTTTTTTTTGCTATAAAATAGAGAATTACTAAGATCGATGATCAAGCCCCGAAGAATTCTATTAACTCACAAGATGGGAGCTGGCTGTACTAAAAAAGTGTTAGCACTTCAGAACAGAAAACTTGGCTAAAGAAACGTGGGCCCCATTGGAGATGGATTCCAAAGCTTACCTGCAGCAGCAAGTCCTCTGAGCTGGTGCCGTGGTTCACTGGGAAAGGCAGCCGTCCATCTACAACAAAGAAGCGAGGCCATGTCAATTTTCTCTGCACGTTTTCTGCCTACTGTGCTTGTCCAGCCTAAAGGGAAATTCTTGCTTCTTTCAAATAACACTGCCACTCCCACAAAGGGGAGCCTCGTGATGAAGGAACAGGCTGTAAATGAGGTTCAAGTGTTCCTAGATATCCATTCCAGACAATTCTCATCTGCAAGTAACAAAATCACAGATGCCCAATCTAGCTGCTGAAGGGCTTGTGCCCCCATCTCCTGGGAAGACTAGCCCCGAGTCTCCCTTACCTTGGTTTGCCCGTAGGCAGCATCCTGACTTGAGACAACACAGATGCAAGTCTTTCTCCATTAATACAAAGAGTATGACTCTTACAAGGTGGATAATCTTTCATCTTTTTCATTGCCATATACCAGTTAACAGAAATTATTCCAACATGTCCAAATCGTTTTTACATAAACAAGGTCATATATAGGCATTTATCTTTGCCCAAAAGTGTTCGTTATCTAAAAAGGATACTAGAGATCCTACACTGACAGTGATGTAGTGGGAGGTGGGAAGAGAAAAACTGAATATGCATGCCTTGAAGTGGTTTTTTTACTAGTCTGTGACTAAAGTCATTCATTTGGTAGGTCAGCTGTGCAGGGATGGTGCTATGGGTAAGGTAAAGGGTTAAGTACCCCCAAGAGAATACCCGGTTGTCCTGTCTTCATAAACAATGATACGCTAAGCGACATCAAGTTGCACGGCAATACTGTAAGAGGAATTATGTATGCAAGAATGCATGAAAGTATATTAGATTCCAAAAAAGGAATAAAACATACCAAGTTCATAGAGGTGGCCATCCACGTTGTTAAACAGAATAAAATGGAAGTTCACTTTGTCATCTACCTGAAGAGAGCCAAGAAATTTTTTTGGAAATGAGTATTTAATAAGCAGAACTTAATTTGTTAAAAATAAGTGTAATACGTAATAAGTATATGATAGAACCGATTTGTATAGTTTTTAAGTTATTATAGCTAATATTTATGTATTTCCTATCTACTAGGCCCTAATCTAAGCCCATTAAGGAGGACAGACTGTCAGAACTCTATGACTTGCTTTTTACTGAGGAGGAAATTAAGGCTTAGGAAGGTTAAGTACCCCATCCAAGGTCAGACTAGAAAGTGGCAGAGCCAACCATCGTTATAGAGGCACTTACCACTGACTTAAATCTAACGTAACAGTTGACTAGGAGGCTATGTTCAGATGGATGGTACATATAAGCATTCTAGAAATTGTCAGTCCTTGTTGGTATACCTTACTGCTGGTATACCTCCCCAACAGTCTGTAAGAAGGATATCTAAAAAGCTCAATCACTAGGAGGGGCGTTACTCTATTGGACTCATCTGGATCCAAACAAAATACATCCTATCAGTTTGAATTTACTCGACTATGTCAACTGCCAGTTAGATTTCTGAGAGCCATTTTTATGAAATGGTCTGGTCAAAGCATTATTCTAGTACAGTTTCCCAGAATTACTGGCCTTGGGTGAAAAACTACATTCGCTGTGTTCCAATAAGGGGTTTCTGCATGCATTTCAGGGAAAACACAGGTGGCGCCTGGCAGCCTGGCTCAGATATGTATTTGCACTTACCCGACATTGGCCTTCCTGTGCCACGGCATCATGGGCTGCCTGAATGGCCTGCCGAAAAGAGAATCATTAGCACAAAAACCTCCCAGAGTTACTGCAAAGTGATGCTCTGGAAGTTCTGTTCCTACCTCATTCTTTTCAAAGCATTTTGCTCTGTCTTCAGGGGACAACTTCTCCGTTTCAGAAAGAAACTGTCTCAGGACTGACCCATCCTCTTTAAAAAAGAAAAAAGAGATAAAATACTACAAATGGGTGCACATTATTGCGGATTGAAGCTGGTGCACAGCTGGTCGTGGTTAGTGACCTGAATCTTTACTATGGCCTCCAAGGACTGGATAAATTGTCCCCTCTTCCCCAGCCTTTTTCCCACCACTCCCTACTCAGTGCATTCAAGCCAGAGAACTCTCCGTTCCTCCCAGGTGCGAGGCTTCCTTGCTTCTGCTCCTGGCAACTCCCCAGCCCCTTTCACCTCCCACTCATCTCTCAAATCGCTTGTCATCACTTTGTTACAGCACTTATCCATTTGCAACACATATCTGTGAGATTTTTAGTGTCATAAAGACAGACTGTCTTGTCTATTGCTGTATCTGCAGAATTTGGCAGCACACAGTTAATGTGTATTGCACACATGCACAACAATAACATTCTCATCTAATAACAGTTGTCAATCCAAGATTTTTATTTAAGGGGAGAAAATACAAGCTTAGCAAACCAGTTATCCAGACAGACATTCACCTAAGCATCTTAAATAGAAATGTAAAGAGCCAGATAGGCTGGCCGACTGGCTGACAGCTGGTCTAAGTGTTTTGTTGTTGCTCAGTCAGTATGGATAAGTCTAGGAGACATTGACGACACAGCTAGAGCAAGAGAAACTTGTATTTCAAAAGACCTCAATTTGAACTTTCAGCTCAACTTGAAAAAAGTAAATTTGTTAAACTGGGACCATCAAGTGATGGGAATCCTCTTAACTTTATGAGGAGGGCTGAGATTCAGGCCAAGCCACTGGCACCACCGTGACCATGGTTACAAAAGAAGCACAGCATCTCCTGACCTCAAGAACACAGTACTCTAAAGTGAGATTTACTGCAGAAGAAACAGAAAAGATCGAGCTACAACTTTTTAATATGGCACAGTACAGTTAATACTTGAAAAAGCAATTTCTAGAAGATCTGGGTATTTATAGCCAGGCAAGCCATTTTTTTTTTTTTTTTTAATTTCAAAAAGTACACCAGTAGTAGATAGTGTCTTGGCCATACTTCTCTTGTAAAAAAAAATTATGTGACCTGCTACAAGCAACAGTGTGGACAATTAGTTGAAATTATTCAATCCTTAGCCACCCCACCCATTGTCTAAATCAGATTACTGCCATCTGTTTTGGTACAGAAAGTTTTATTGAAACACAGCCATACCCATTGGTTTCCATCTTGTCTATGGCTGCTTCTGCACTAACATGCTAATCTAATAACAGTTCTCAAATCAAGATTTTAGGTCAGAGACTATATGGCCTTCAAGCCTTAAAGATTTATTCTCTGGCTTTTTAAGCAAGTTTGCTGACCCAGGGCCTAAATCAGACATAATGGCCATGTTTTTTGACATTTTTTAGTGCTGTTAATTGTGTCTCTGACAAGCTTAAGGGCTGAGACACACGGATTTCTTCTATATTCTCCACAGCATCCACTGAAGGTAGGCTAACGCCCCTGACCTGACATTGTTCAGTTAGATCTTTCAAGGTTTCAACCTGCTGCTAAACTTCCCTGCAGGAACCTTCACACTATCTGTGTCCAGCTGCTCTAAGCTGGTTTGGTCCTCCTGTGGTTTATGAGACACAGAACCATTAAAGACAGGTCCTAACTGTTGATCTCTAATACTTCAGAATTGTTGAGAATTGAACAGGAACACAAGAATCAGGATAATAATCGGCCCTCAAGAGTTCTTTATCCTTTACCTCAGGCCCAGCTAAGCTGTCTGCAAATGGAAGAGCATATGTAGGGAGGCAGTATGCAAATGCCTATCACTTAGTCTTCCTCTCCAGGTAGAAGCCAAACCATGCTTCTTAGAAAATGAGCTCCCTTCCCTCAGAAGGGAGAAACAAGAACTCACCCACTGATTGCATCTGGCTAAGTAGGTTTCAAATATTTTGAAGGCAATGACTTTGCTAAATAGACCCTTGGCGGGGAAAGGGAGTTGGAATGAAGCGTTATGGCTAACCAGAGGTCAACTAGAGGATGACTGGCCTCAAAATTCAACACGTACCAAATTCCAGTTTGTCTTGATTATTGGCTACCGCGTGTATAAGTCCAATGGTGCCACAGGAGTTTCCAATGGTCTGCTTCATGAAATACACTTTAGGGCTGACTTCTTGTCCCTTCAGTTCTTCAATCTGTTTTTTCCTGAAGTTCTCATGCTATGAATGTAAAAAACATGTTAATATCTCAAAATGAGAATGCGGAGAACAGACAGTAGCACAACAAGTTCTATCATCTAAATGGAAACTCAAGTAGGATGTGTGACCAGGAGCCTTGGTTCTAGATGCTGGGGCCAATGCCCAGAAAATGGCCTGTCTGCCTCCCACACCCATGCCAGCCGTGGGGTTCTGAGAGGCTCTGAGGCTCCACCCTGATGCTGCAGTGCAGTAACAACCTTGGATATTACCCAAGGCTTTGTCTAGACACCACTGAAACCTTTTAGCTACAAATGGATGGTGTCATGAAGCCAGAAAAACAGACAAGTTCATTATATAACGTCAGGATCTTAAATAGAAATGTAAAGAGCCACACAGTTTCCTTCTCTTAACACCAACAATGACTATATTTCACATGGGCGTCCCAATCAAGATTTGGTCAATTTAACACCCAACAAGAACATCAGCTAGTTTATATCCCACTCTTCTTTAAAGTTCTCTCTATTCTATCCAAGTATGCTTCTCCTCAAAACCAAAACAAGCTTTAACTGTTGCAAGGAGAAATTTTAAAAAATTATTCCCTCTCTCTTTTTTAGGAAGGAAAGACAACTAACTGGTCTAGGGTGCTGGCTGTGATTCCACAAAATCTCTACTCATCCTACAAGAGGACGATGTGACACTTCTTTGTCCCAGCCAACTATGCAGTTTGAGGACAGATTAGCAATGGAGTGGGGGACGAAAGAGGGGGGTAGAGGCCAGTAAACAAATGAGACTAGAGGTAGTTTTCCTCAAAGTATCCATTAGCTCTTTGTACAGTGATTTAGTGGGCTTGTCTGAACCTCTCACTGAGGAGTTTTAAAGACCTTACAGGTATGACTTCTCAGTTAAAAGCAGGGTGCTCATGCTAGAGAAACACTAATTTCCCATAACCAACATAATTTAGACAGAACACCAGAAGCATATTTCCAGTTATAGTAGCTTTCATTACATGCGATTGAAGTTTAAGCCTGGTCTGTGGCACCATCAGAGGAATATGATCTACTGTCCCACAAGATCAACTTAAACTCCAACTACTGGACAGTTTTTGCATCATGTATCTACCATATCCTTGAATTGAGTTACTTCCTGACTATTAAGGCTTTTCACTTCCCTAGGTTAAATTTTTTTTAAATGGGATAGCACTATCCTTTAGCGTTGTTTGAGCACTTGCATGGAGACGCTTCTGTATTTCATTATCACTTAAAATTAATGTCAACTTCTTTAAATTTAACCTCAACTTCTCTTTAAATCTGCTTCCGTGTTTAGCCCAGGAGGTGTTTTGTGTTGCAGAACAGGTGCTCAATAAATCTGGTAAGACTGAACTGGAGCAAAAGGACTAGGTATCTAGCTCTTGCAAACATAAAACGTTTAAACGAGAATGTTCTCTAACAAGACCCGCTTGATCCAGCAAAGCAGTGGGCTTTTGAAAGACAAACACGCTGCACCACTGCCTCCCAGAGGCCTTGCCTCTGAGAGCTGCTCAAAACCTCCGAGTCATCATGGTTCCTCTAAGAAGAAAGCTCTGTGAGGGGCTCTAACCAGACAGAAATTGCATTTGATCTGGTCAACAGGAAAGCTAATTTGACTTGCAATTATCTAGCAGCTCTGTTTTCACCTAAGGAACGGTTTTGGCAATAAGAAACCTGTCAGTGGGATTATCCTAATAGCTTTACTAAAGGTTTTTAACCTACTATACTTAGTATATTTACATGGGGAATGCCTGGAACTTCCCATAGGGCTTAATTTATGCTGAGGATGCTTCTAGAACAGCCTTAGGCTGGTGCTTCACTTAAGCTCACTCTGTGTTTGGAATGATGCCCAAATTGCTAATGCCTCAAGTTTTGCTAAAGGAAATTTCGACCACTCCCAAATCAGGGGTCAAGTGACAGCAATAGAAGATAGACAAAACCTGCTAATTAGTGGAATTCCATACAGCCCATAACAATTATTCCAGCTGCCTTTTTATATCTGAACTCAGTCTTTGAGGCATATATACAGAGGGTGCCAAAAAAATGCATACACATTTTAAGAAAGGAAAACTATTAAAATTGTAATACTCAGTATATACCAATAACAAAAGATGAATACGAGTTACATTTGACTTCTGAAATTACCAGAGGTGCTCAAAGTGGTTACCGTCAGGGTCTAGACACCTTGGATTACAGTGAACTACTCTACTGCTTGAGCAACACTGACCAAAGTGTCCACTTGTGTACATTTCTGGGCACCCCCGTGTATATATATCCATGCACACTTACAGGAAGAAAACCATCTAAAGGGAAATGCAAAGGTGCTTCCAAAATTACTCCACTGCCCACCTATTTCATTTAGCTACAAGGCCAGAGAAGAAAGAGGATAACAGAGGTGGAAAGAGGTTCTCACACAGGAACCATACACAAATGATTAAGCTTTTTTTAAAAGCACACTGAAGAGGATAAAATCCAAGTGTGCACGTTGTAGGAAGAGCCCCGAGTCCACCGGAGACCCAGGCAGTGGAGGTGTGGCGGCGGTTTAGGCAAGGCCATCCCCCTCCATTTAATAGCTAAGTGGGAGTCTGAGAACCAGACAATAAACTAACAGGTGACAGCCCTTACAGGGAAACAACCAGCCATGCATGCCTTGGAGGAAAAGGCTCAGAAAAGCCTACGTTCAAGCGAACTCATGAGTCGGATTATTTCCCTGGATAACTGGGATGATGAAACTGAGATGCTGCTTCTCTTCCAAATTTAATGCAATGCTGGATGGATGAGCGAGGAGGCAATAAGCTCTATTACAAGAGCTCCAATGAATAAGTACCACGAAAGTGCAGGCCCCTCCCTCCATTCCCCACAGGGAGGGGACAGTCTGGCCAGCTCTGGGAGCCCAGGCCAGATGGGGAGGGGAGCCGGGAGTCTACATTGTCCTCAACGCCTCACTCCGATTGGGTTGCGGCACGCACCGTCCGAAGCCCGCCGACCCCGAGCCCCACGCCCTACCTGGGCGGTGAGGGGAAACAGCAGCAGCAGCGCGCAGGCAGGCGCAGGCACTGAGCTCAAAGCCTCCTCCTCCAGTCCCAGCACGTCCACGAAGCGCCACTGGCCGGCGACTCCCAGCCGGGCCAGCACCTGCGGAGAGAAAACAAGGCGGCCAGGCGCGTGGAGACAGGCGAGTGGTGGACATCTGCCTTAGTGCGGAGCCGACACCGCACGGTCCATGCCCCCAAGCGTGCCTGGATGGAGTCCCCGCCCCCCACCCTGCCGGCGCAATGATACAGCACAAAGCGCGGCCCACACGTGGCTCCCGCGAAGCCCGGGCACAGGAGTCCGTGCGGCCCGCGCGCGCCTTGCCCTCGGGACCTGGGCCCCGCGCTCGCATCCTCCTCCTCCTCGGCTCCTGCATTCCCACCTCTGACCGGTTTCGCAGAGTCACCCCCGCCCCCGATGCAGGGGCAGAGGGAGGGCGTCCCGACCGCGCCCCAGCCCTCCGCCTCTGGAGAGCGCAGGGCGCAGCTACGTCCCTGTGAAACAACCGGAGACCGTGGGCGCCTCCGCCTCGGCGCTCCTGGTGGAGGGGGACAGAGGAGCACCACTCACTTTGTTCAGCATCTGAAAGGCAAATGCAAAGAAAATACAAAAATAAAACCAGTCAGTGATAAGGCTACCTGGCAAGGGCTGACCCTTAGCCCTGCGCTCCCCGGGCCAAGGTGCACCTGATGCTCACCTCGGGGTTAATCTCCATCGGTTTGAGCTGCATCTTCGCGAAGCACGGAAAGAGCCACAAACCCAGAGAAGAGGAAAAACAGCCAGCGGCGCCGCCCAGGCTGCCTCTATAAAGCGCCGGCCTGACGCACTGTGGATGCCTGCGCAGGGGGATCGGGGCAAAACCAATGAGGGGGAAACGGTCAGTTTCAGCCAAATTGTCACGAACACCCCTATGCGCAGCGCACAGTGGTACGGCCAGGCCCCCAAACCTTGCAGTCTCACTTGCTGGTGAGATAAAACTATTGGTTGTGGGGATGGGTTTTGTTGGTCGGTGTTCCTTGAGTGTATGTATAGGCAAATCCTTTTTATGGAGTCGAATTTTTTTTTTTGCGAAGTTTTTGGGAACCCTTCCTTTCTACTACCCCGATTACCTGAAAGCTCAGCGTTTCTGTAGCGCAGACAAAAAAGCCCAAATTCAACAGGTATATGTTTAATATGAATAGAAATGTGTCTCCCAAATCTCTCAGCAGTGTGCATTTGACCTTAAAGAAATCGTCCTCCATGTTAAATAAAACCAGTAACGAGGTTCGTCTTTAATTGACTGCCTAGAATAAAACATAGTCTGGAATATAACAGATAGTGCATTAGTAATGCTGATGTAACGTGACTCCCCGGGAAGAACTGGTTGGTCATGGGGAAGCTGTAGCAACCTGGGTATGTGAGCATAATACAACAAACAGGCAGGCGGTGGGAGACTTCAGGAAACAGATCCAGGGAAAAGACAGGTATAATTTCGAGACGAAAAGATACAAAAGGAAAAGCATTTGTAAAAGAATGGGAGGCTTTGAAAAACAAAATTCTGAGTTCAAAAAAAAATACAGTGAAGAAGAAAGGGAATGGCAACTAAGGAAACCACTGTTTTCTAATGATCTCTCAGGTGGGGTTTGTTTTTCCTACTAGCTTAATCTAAAGATGGAGAGAGAAAGCATATACCGAAGGGCAAATTAAAAGGGGGACAAAAATCTGTAACAATAGTGCCAGGAAAGCTAAACCTCCAAATGAAATGGAGCTTTCACAAATATTAAGGAAGCAAGAAGGTCAGGTATTTTTAAAAATATGCTCAGAACAAAATAATAAATGGTGAAAGAGCAGACCTCCTGTTTAGGGAGTCCAAGGTTAATAGTGACAGAGAGAAGGGAGGAAATATACATTTTTGTAGCAACTACCTCTACAATGGATCAGTGGCTCAGATCTTTTGCATGTCATCTCATTTATTCCTTAGAATATCCAATGAAGAAACTCTTATTAGTGCAGTTCTACAGATCAGAATCCAATACTTAGAGAGGTTAGTTTGCTTATGGTCACAATAGTAAAGTATAACAGATATAAATCCTAGTAAATTGGGCGCTACGAAAGTATTCTGTACCTGAAGTTTCACTAAATTCCACTTCTATTTTCTTTTTATTCATCAGAAAAATGACCTTCACACAGGAAATCAGAGACAAAAAAATAATAAGAATTTAATGGATGAATTTTATGATATGTAAATTATGCTTCAATAAAGTTGTTTTTTAAGAAAAGAAGACAGTGACTTAAAAGTCAAGAAAGGTGAATAGGTGGTACAAGAATACTGACTATGCTAAATGAGTTCTTGCCTTCAGAGACAAATTCTATCCCAATTTACTTCATTTATTCAACAAATACTGATTAAGCACCTACTGCATGATGGGAGCTTAGGATTGGAGCTACAAAGGTGAACACAGTAAATAAACGTGGAAATGTCCATCATGGAGCTTTTATCAGTAATAAGACTGGTGTGAAAGGGAGTAAAACTCACCTAGTGCAGGGAATCAGGAGGTAAGTGACATTTAAGATAAAGGCTGATGGACAGGTAGAAGTTAGCAGGTGACAGTTACTACCAAAATAGGTAGTAAGAGTGGTCATGAAAATGCTCTGAGAAGTCTTTGTTAAAGGCATTCATTCACTCACTCAAAAAATACATAGAATGCCTACTATGAGCCAGGAAACATCAGAGCATTGAAAAAACAACAAAACAAACTCTCTGCTTACAAGGAGATGCCAGAGACTGGACATGAACAAACATTATCCTGACCTTTTTTTTTTTTTTTAAAGGAGTGGGGAGGGAATGTATTGCTGAAACTGCAGGCCAGGAGATTTGATATCAGTCATTAGCCAAATTCTAGGACTTAGAATTTGTGAACGCTTAGAAAAAATAGAATGGTTGCATTTAGGACAAGTTATGCCAGCCATCACTCATCTCCTTTTCTTTTAGGGTTACTAACTAGATGGACAGGCAGAATTCTCATTGTATTATTCATGCTGCCTGGGTTGGCATCAACTGATATTATAGTTGAAGTGGTTTTATAGCTCATTTAAATTATTCTGCCCTTTAAAAAGTGCTGCTGAACAGAGTAATCTCAACCTGCAGCCACCTGGCCATGGGTTTAACACTGTCTTGTGCGGTTTTATTAAAGCAGAGAGAGTGTGCACACATGCAAGTGAGAATAAGCAATCTAAATGACAGAATTACGATATTTAGAAAAATGAGTTAAAAACAAAAGATGAAATTTAATAGAGATTTTGGTGATGGTTTTACACTGCTATGAATATATCAGAAAATTTTAAATGGATGGACGTATCGCAATAAAGCTGTTAAAAATTCACTAGGTATATGTGTAAAGCTCTGCACGTCAATTATAGTACAGTTGATCTTTATATTCACTTCTTTCTTGATTCCATGGTTATAAAAGTAATAGTTTATATTTATATATGATATACATTATAATAATATAATAAAATGGGTTATATAATATGAATAAAAATATGAATTGAAAAACAAGTCACAACATTTTGATTTTGACCATTTAAAAACGAATACACAAAGATCAGAAGGAAAAACATTTTTAAAAATCAATTAAACATTTAGGGTAAACATGGAGCAGACCTGTTATAGGTAGAGAAACAAAATCAATGAATAAGTTGTCCTTCATAAGTACAGATGTCATTTCTGATTCACCAGCAGTGGGATATTTTTATCATAAGTATTATTGTTCTAGTAATAATGAAGATTTAGGATATACCCTTTAGAAACTACTGTCTTATGATTCTGATAACAAATAAGTCAGAGATTCCAATATCCTCAGCAGGGCAGTTCTGTATTATGGGAGTCAATCCTGAAGGTTCATCCCCAAGGTTAGTCCTCCAGCACTTCCAGTGGTTTTGTAAGCACCTAATTCCCTGTATTAAATCCCCTTCTACTTTGGGGGTGGCCAGATGGCTCAGTTGGTTAGAGCGCGTGCTCTTTAACAAGGTTGCCAGTTCCATTCCCACATGGGATGGTGGGCTGTGCCCCCTGCAACTAGACTGAAAACAGCAACTGGACTTAGAGCTGAGCTGTGCCCTCCACAACTATATTGAAACAACTACTTGACTTGGAGTTGATGGGTCCTGGAAAAACACGCTGTTCCCCAATAAAATTTCTTTAAAAAAAATCCCTTTCTACTTAAAATACCTACGGTAGTTTTGGACTCTTGTATTGGTAGACTGTGTGAGACTGTGTGCATACCAATGGTGATATCTGAGATGGTTTTAGGTGAATCACAGACATGTAATAATTATTTGTTCGAATGTACATCATAAAAGCTGTAGATTCTTATATGTGTATGAGTATATGATTAGAATATCCAGTTTGTGATTTCACAGACAATTAAATCTTTGGGCAAGTCTAACATATACTAAGCAAATAGCATTATTGGTCATAAAGATATTGCAAAAATCATAGGGGTCATTCACAAATCTCAAAGACAGGAAAACTTTGTTCTAATGACAAAAGACTCTCACTAGTTGAAGGGGTAGAATGTACAGTGTATTTATGAAGGCAGAATACTCAAGGACTGAAGCAATTCTCCCCAAATATTTTGAGGAGTTGGTATTTCTGCCTGAAGTCAGAAGTTTCCCAAGGAGGGAGATGAGGAAGGAAAGAGGACTAGCTTTTTGTGTTATACAAAGGACCCTGTTTTGTTACCCCATTGAATCCTCATGCCAGTCCTCTGAGATCCATATTTCTACCTTGATTTTGCAGATAAGTAAACTGGGGCCTCAGAGAGGCTGTTTGTTTAACTTGCTAAAGTTCACAAAACTACTAAGTGTCCTAGTCCAGGTTTCAACCCGACTTCATTTGATTTCAAAACTTGTGCATGTTCATCTCTTCTGTCTGCTTTCATCTAAAGCCCAGCCCTACAGCCTTAGCTATTACCACTAGAAATAAGTATTAAGCACAGCCACTGAAAAGAAAGAACTTAAATGACTCCTGCAATGTCCAGGGCCAGAGCAGGTCACCCAACTCTCTGGTAAGCATGGCTCACTTTGAAGTCTAATAGCCTAGACTGAATTTATAATTAGCACGACATTAATTATTGACAACATACTTCCTCAACATTTTTAAACTTACTTGGCAGTTCCTCTGTCAATAATGTTTCCCCAGAAGTAAGGTTCTGACATCAGATATTTTTAAAGTTAAAACTAACAGAGTAAAAATGATATATAATGCAAAGAAAATACCATATTAGTTCCCATGATAAAGTCAATTTTTCTCCTGTTTCCTAAAAGCAGTTCATTAACTGGGTAGTCACAAGTACATCTGAAGGAAGAAAGATAAATGTGAATGAGAACACATATTCTCATTGAATTATACCTTCATATATTCATATATTCACTCAACAAATATTTTTTGAGTACCTACTATGTGCAGACATTATAGTAGGCTTACCTGGCTTAGGGGTGGGGTTAGCAGATGACAAACATAAGATAAAAACCATGTTTTCTAGCTTTTTAAATGCCATCAATTTTCAGATAAATCATCAATGTAAAAACTGCTTTTTGGTGGCAGAGAGAGGAGGGAACCCAGTGCATCAAAGGTAGTTGTCAATTATAAGACATTTCTCTTTACAAAAGGTTGAACCCTGAAAAACATCTTAGAAATAAGGAAACGCTGGTTCTTTTTTATCAAGCTCTTCACAATCAATTTGAGTTCAGGACAGCTAGCAGCATGCACTGTCCACAATGAAAGATAAATGCCTAATGTTCCTAAGCTGCAGAGAAACAGCTAAGCATATAAGAGAAGCA